AAAAAAAAAAAAAAAAAAAAAGGTATTAGCGTGATAATATGTAGCCTATATGTTGACCCGACCTATTAGTCATAATCCAAGCCGTCAAGGTAACACGTAACCTTTCATAAAGATTTTAAAACAAAATCTACGAACCGAGCAATAGGACTTCATTGAATAAGACGGTTTCTATGTTACGTAAGTTACGGCTATTCACAGACTTATGTTACGTTAAGTACAAAGAAGTAAAAAAAATAATAACAAAGAGTAAGTAGTGGGGCCCTCCGCCTTACACATAACTTGTTATTAGGACTCAAGTATTTTGTGACGGAAAATGTTTTATGTGTTAACATTTTCAGTCGAATTATGGGCGCTTATGTTATACCGATCGCAATACCTAGGCTCCCCGGATCGATGCTAACGCGTTCGCCATCGGCACTCGGCACCCGTAGCCCAGGAACTAGTGTATGTACTAGATGTCGCCGGTAATCCATATCCAGGGACAGCTAACGACACGTCGACTATAATCTGGTAGATAGCTTTTGTTCCAATTAAAACAGCGATTTTCATTGACTTGGACAAGTAACTCCGATTCGAACGCTTAATTGAAATGTCCACCCTGACATCGGACCAGTGTCAAGTGACACAGCGAAGTTAATTAATGATTTATAAATAAATAAATAAATAAACATAAAATCTTTGTAATAATGGATAAACATGTTTCGCTACTATTGGAACTCTTAATGATGTATTAAACATTAGACATTGTCATACAAAAATATAAAAATATTTCGTCGAATCAGACCACTTTCTTGTGTAATTTATCACTTTCCTTACGCAGCTTTATTTTGGTGCTGCTCTACATATACATATGTTAAAGTGAATTCAATATTTGTCTGTCAGCCGATATACCTTAATAATATTATGTGTAATGAGTTAATGACGTCACTTGTAGTAATATTGGTTGGGGTCAGCTTTGTACGTTTGTGTAATGCAAGCCTTATCAGGTCCGGTTGCGCAATTATGTAGTTATATGGAGTACGGTATTCCATACTATCCAACGGATATTCGCATTTGAATTCGCGAATATTCACACGTTTTTGGACATTCGTGAGGACGCCGTAGCGTCTCTCAAGCCACTCCTCAAAGAGGGGACTTACCGCTGCAATGGCAGCGAGCCCAGCCCTCGGTTGCGACAGTCGTTGCTGCCATTCCGCCATGAGATCGCGCCGGAGCTCATCCCGCCACGCACATATCTGGCGATTCGTTAATACCTATGTTCATTCAAAGCTCAAAACGAGTTATTTGGATTCAAAATTGGTTATGAATACCGACTTCAAAAAGAGGAGAAGGCTATGTTCGGCTGATTGTTCTTTTTTGTTTGTTCGCGCAGTACTCCTCCGTTTGTGAACCGATTTCCAAAATTCTTGTTTTTTTTATGACATAAGCCGGTCAGTTTTTTTTATGGCATAAGCCGGTAAACGAGCAGACGGATCACCTGATGGTAAGCAATCGGCGTCGCCCATGGACACCTGGAACACCAGAGGCGTTACAAGTGCGTTACCGGCCTTTTGGGGATTAGGAGTTTGAGGATCGTTGGGGATTCAGGGATTGGGGAAGGGGAGGGTAATTGGGCCCCGGTAACCTAACTCACACGACGAAACACAACGCAATCGTTGCCTCACGTCGGTTCTCTGTGAGGCCGTGGTATTACTCCGGTCGAGCCGGCCCATTCGTGCTGAAGCATGGCTCCCACACTTTGTTTTGTTTGAAAGGGTATACTCCCGAGATGTTCCCATTTCCATGAGGTCAGGATCTGATGATGGGATCCTAGGGAAACCGAGGGGAACTTTCGAAAATTCTCGGGGCGAGTAATGCGTCTATTATGTTTTTCAATTAGGATTTTTAAACACTACATATACATATGTTTTCTAAAGATCGATAATTAATCGCTTTTGATAAAATATCATCCACGCCCATTTTCACATTTATGTACTTTGCGCTTTCTATCGTGGTTTCTCCGGCAGGTCTACGGGTCCGATTTGAATTTTGGTTTTTGTGTTGAATAATCCATTTATCGATCACATTAAGGTGTAGCTTTAATTTCGGTGTACTTATATTGTACGGATACCGTAACGTTCTCCCTGCTATATAACGTTACAACTGCTTTCAGTCCATGTTTAAAACTATCTACCAATCATGAATTCATATTATTCTCTTCAATCTTTATAAGAAATCCGTTCCTGTGCCGTAAACAGGTAAGTAGGAGTGGGCACTTACCATAAGGTTTGTTTGTGCAGGGCCGGCGCGAGCGCGGCGCCGGCGTATGAGCTGACGGCGGGCGCGGGCGGCGGAAGCGCGGGCGCGTGCGCGGAATCACCCGGCACTCTCGCGCACGCGCCGCACCAGCCTGCCATGCAGCAGTCGTCACATCAACATCACCATGATCCCCGCAAAAGAAAGACTTCACATTTGTAAGCATTATCTATCGATCACTGACTGTTTTATTCATTTTGTTGGTAGTTGAAATAATGGCATGTTTTCAGTCAGTTTGATACTTTTTTAATGTCAAAAATCAACGGGCTACGTCGCGGGCAAATGGTAGTTAATAAATGTAAAGTTTGAAACAAAAGCCACCGGTCCTTAATGAGTACATTAAATACCGCGAATTTCACGAGCTTTTCCTGTGTCGCAATCGTCACCCCTCCTTGAGTGGTTAGCGACGGGACTGCGACAGTTTGGTCGCGGTCACTTCTCGAGACAGTCGTATTTTGAGGAAATATAAGAATTCAGCCATGGATGACTTCGTGTGGGACGATGAAAGCTTTTTCCTGCTGGTGGACTCTTACAACGACCTCAACCAGATGCTGTTAACGAAAACGTTAACAGAGCCAGACTTATCTGTAGGATTAGAATTGGATGACTTGGAAAGTCTAATTGGATTTGGATCAACACCCAAGAGAGTCCGCAGCATGCCGCGCGCTGCTGGATCAATCAGGTACAGGCGTGAGGCCCAGTGAGCACGCAACACACGCTGCACGCGACCTGCTAACGTGTCCTCTTGGTTTTGCAGTAGTTCGGAGAGCTACGAGATGTCTAGCTGCGAGGCGGGGCTGGCGGCGCCGCCCGCGCCTTTGCACGCGCCAGCCAGCGCCACACGCAAGAGGAAGCCGTCCTCCTTGTGAGTACTTTATCTTACTGACCCATCTACATGTTTATTCTTTAGGATGTGTTTCCAAAGATATATTTCAGGCCACAAAAAAAAACAATCAAATTACTTTGATGAGTAGTTTAATACACATTGGTGTCACTTAATATTAAAACAAAGTCGCTTAGCTTACGCTTAGCGTTGTCTTTCTCTGTGTATGTTCAGATCTTTAAACTACGCAACATGCAATAGATTCGGACTTGGATACTGGTTGTAACGCGTAAAATAAAAAAAATGGTATTTGGTTTTGTTGCACACCCACTATTGTATACCAGTGAGTTATACCTGTAAGGTTTTAACTGACAAGCAAAAGCGTGAATGGCCACCATTAGTTTTTTTTATTAAGTTCTGCAACTTACCGTTCGTCAACACAATAAACGATTCAGATGGAGTATGTTGATTTCTGTATTGTTAGCAGCAGAAGAAATTCCATGTGAATCCCTTTCGTCTAGTATCAACCATCATTAATGAGGAAGATTTTACGAGTTGACCAAAAAGGAAACCCCAGCGATGTACCAGATTAATCTGTGGCATCCTCAACATTAATTATTTCCAAATAAAGTGTGGCACAGGTTGAGGCCAGGTTATCATCTGCAACCTATAGGATGCAGCAGTACATATACTACATATACAATTGTCCCGTAAAGCTTTTCAGGGGTTGTACTTTAATAGAGAGACACTTTAACTATACCTCCTTGTGTGTGTTTGAGCCGTCTAACATGTCGCGCCTGTTTAATAAATAATTGGGATGTGTCATTTGCCTTACAGCAGGAACTAACGTTCCTGGTAGTTGATTACGTAGCACAAGTTAGTTCCGTGGTACATAGTTCCTATAAACATCCATCAGTAACTTAGTAATGTACCGAATGTGAACGCTAATAACTACCGCCGTTATTCGCAAATACGATATTGCTCTAAGAATTTGAACCAATTTGTGGCTGTGTTTTTACAACTTATACTATAATCAAAATAGTAGTTAAATAACAAAAATTAGGCAAGAGTACATTTTTTGATGATTCTTATCTCTCTTGGTGATTTTAATTTGGTGATTCTCTACCAAATATTTCAATTGTTTAATTTGGCCTGACTGTTCCGACTTCCGAGCATAGTGAAGTATCATATTGATACTTTAAAATATGGTTTTATTTTGAGTAATATCGTAAAGACTAAACAAAAATATATAAAATAGTATTTTTAGTTACCTAGTTGAAAGAGTCATCTTAATACTTGCATATTTTTCTTAAATTTTCGATTCGATTTCGAATTAGATATTTGGTTATTCAATTTACCGAATTATCACCAAAATGACAGCGATATGATTGCAAGTCAGAAGATTAGGTTTTGTAGTAAATATAAAAGAAATTAACATCTACTTCTCTATTGAATTTATTACTAAGTACTATTTTGTAATTGAAAATATCTATTTTTATGACGTAGGTATATAATCGCAACATTGCGAATGCCAAAATATTACGTATTCACATCACTAATCAGTATCTCTGTATTTGCTTCCCAACATCACGGTTTTATTTCTTGAAAGCTATTTCAAAGATAGAGTCTATCAAGAAAGTAGAAGCTCCTAGTGTGTTATGAGATACATCTGATGTAGTAGTTCAACAATTTAGGTAAATGTAGGTCTTCAGCTTCACGTTCAGATTGATGCACTGACTCGGAACGCTGTAAGAGCCCTACACTTCTCCGCAAACTGTTGTCATGTTATATTCAATTCTCGTACAAGTTTTCTAAAACGAACGACGCAAACAGCAATGGTCCTTAAAATGTGTACTCGGCATTATCTAATAACCTATAACTCCTAAAATTCTGGCTTTCTGCGAACCCATACAAATTAGAAAGTTACCCTTCCAGTTGGTGACAATACGGCCAATTAACCGGGCACGCGAGGACGCGGGTACTTCTGTGCCCAGGTACGCGGCGCGCTGGCCGCGACGTTGCTTGGCTACAGACGACTCGTGGAAAAATCACCTGTGACCAAAGCGTCGAGTTTACCTCTCCGTTCGTTACATGTAATAAGGCTTCACGTAGGTACTTTAGGAAAGAGCTCGCTACTCGTGACCGAGTACAGTACGCGCCTCACTGCCCAAAATGTTCAATGAACATTTATGAAGGTGTTTGTTGTGAGAAGGTTTGTGTATGGCATACCATTATATAGTTACCTCTACATTCTGTGCTTTATTGATATGAGGAATTTCTTAAACAATACAAGGCCAGGCCATACTTCACTATGAAGCATCGTGTTATTAGGTCATTTAAGCCAGGTTAGATTACTAAGTTCTTTGTCTGTGATTCATTAATCGGTAGTGCTATATTTTATTTATTTATATTTAAGAACACTAAAACATATAATACATTCGCCCAAGAGTCCAAGGTTCCTATCTCTACTTATACACTACAATCATATCTAAAAATTGCTCCGTTGCGACTTAAAATGGACAAACAAACATTTTCGCATTTAAATTATTAGTAAGGAAATGAGGGTAGCAAGTATTGTTTACCCGGAATTTAAACGGGAAAACGTGTTCGAGAAACATTCTTGGATCGTGTCCCTATCGAGCGACCGTTTCTAACTTTTTACCTACTCTATAGGTAGTACCTATTTGCGTGAAAACCGTGGAATTGTAAGTCGGCATCGTTCATGAGGGGTTCCGTTCCATTAATTATATCACTGTATGTATAAAAACGGGATAAATCACGATTTTGTTTATTATATCTCTCGAGAGACGTACTACATCAATTATTGTGTTTTCGCCGGTTAATCACGTTTCTTGTATGCGGGTCCCAAAACATATGTGCCATGGATTATGGAATGAAAACTACGTGTCCTATGTGTAAAGTATTCCTTGTACTACACTTGCATCTCTCGCCTAATTTTGTACAGATCTTTCATTTTGCGTGAAAGACTAACACATATTGGTATTCATACATCCGCACAGAGTCCTTGCATTTATAATATTAGAGGGACATCATCGTCCCCTGCGATCGTTTAAGTTACGATAACAATTTAAGTAGCCAAATTTGTAGTTGCTGTGTGTAATCAAAGTTGTTGTCCCATGGGGCCACCCGCCACGCACTTCGACTGGTGAGATTACCCCCTCAGAGTCACTTCTGACCTGACCGTATTTTGTTCTACAACTATTTAAAGTAGATACCTATATACGCACTTCAGTCGTCAATATTATTATGAACTAGCGGACCCCGCAGACTTAGTTTCGCCTTACAATTTGTTTTTCTTACGTAAAAACCTTTTCCTAGCAATAACAAGCCATACAAAAAAGAATTAGAAAAATCGGTTCAACTGCTCTCGAGATTTGCGCTTAGCAACACATTCAGCGATTCATTTTTATACTAATGTAGATTATGAATTAAGTCTTTTTGATAGAACTTAGAGAAGTGCTGACTACAAATTATTGCCGACTTGTCGATTAGGCGATTGTAACATTTCCAGCCAACAGTCTGATCTAGAATAAATTAAACTGTCAAATACCAAGCGGTCACCGGTGACCGCAACCTATTGTTCTATAATTGTGTCTGCAAAACCGGTACTCGACGAGTTAAAGCACAAGTTAACTAGACCGAAAGTGTTTCTATCCCTTGTCGCTCGTCGTTGCTTAACCATCCGAAATTGATTCGAAGCTATGCAATGATGATGAAGGTAAATGGAGACTAGAGACTATATTTTTTATTCTCCTTACTAATCTGTAGCAGCCGTAATTACGAAAGGAAAGAGCATTTGATCACGTTACGGAAGTTCTTATATTCCTATCTTATTCCTTGTAACTTTCTTATTAACGTAAACACTGTTTATCAATGAACTCGCCTACCAGGTTTCTTTGTATCACTAGGTATGAGTACTTTAGACGTGAGAGAGCCGTGCTTCAGCACGAATGGTCTGGCTCGACCGGAGTGATATCACGACCTTATAGAAAACTAACGTGAAATACCGCTTACTTTGTGTTTAGTCGTATGAGTGAGGTCCCGGTTGCTCAATCTTCCCCCCTCCCCATTCCACAAATCCCCATTTCCTAAAAGGTAGGCGAGGGCGGCGCCAATTGTTTATCATTAGGTGATCCGTCGTTTACCGCTTTATGCCGTAAAAAGACTTAGTAAGCTGGTGATATAAAAACTGAGTAGAACAAAACTCAATTTTTAAAGTCAAGTTCATGGTATTGTGTTCCTCGAACTTGAGGCATTGTTCAGATAAAGGTGTTCGCTTTATAACAAAACGTTCCTTTAGGGTTTCGCTTTTGACTTTAAAATGAATTTATGATTATGTAATTTTCTTCGAAATAAAAACTTTTCATGATAGGTACCAGAGTTAGAGAGCTTGTACTTTGTAGGTCCTCTGATTATTCTTAAGGTTATGCTTTCCGGCCGTTAATTGACGACTTGTCTCTAGTATTATGTAGCAGATAACGACTGCATAGTGCTGTGGCAGGAGACGCAGGTGGTCGCGTAGACATCCGGGCAAAGGTTTCGGGTTCGAACACCGGGGCGGCTACGAGAGTTGAGATTGTTTACTATTATTGTACTACTAGCTTCTATCGGCGGCCCGCGGCCCCTTGGGAGAGAAAGTAGCCTATGTGTTATTCCAGATCATAATCTACCCCTCTTCAGCCGTTTTTACGTGATTCAGTTACAAAAATTCCACAACCTTTCGTATTTAAAATATTAGTTAAAATAGGCAAAGATACTCAAAGATATTGCACCTCTGATACTAGTGCTGTGTAATGTGTTGCAGCGGTACGGGCAGCGCGTATGACGATGACGGCGGCGACGATTCGCGCTCCACTCGTACCCTGCCTGACAAAAAGTAAGTTAGCAGCTTCGGTACACAAGCAGAACAAGTTCCAGTATGATTACTAAGTACACTACATTATCGGTCCTGACGCGTTGCAGACAGAACCACAGCGAGATCGAGAAGCGGCGGCGGGACAAAATGAACACGTACATCTCGGAGCTGAGCGCCATGATCCCGATGTGCGGCGCCATGGCGCGCAAGCTGGACAAGCTGACGGTGCTGCGCATGGCGGTGCAGCATCTGCGGTCGGTGCGCGGCGCGCTGTCCGCTTGCCCGCTCACGGCGCGGCCGCGGCCCGCCTTCGTTTCGGAGCGCGAGCTCAACCAGCTCATCCTGCACGCCGCGCACGACTCCTTCCTGCTGGTGGTGGGGTGCGACCGCGGCCGCCTGCTCTACGTGTCCGCCTCCGTCAAGCAGATGCTGCACTACGACCAGGTCGGTCCCACGCCCACACGCTGGCGCTGCGTGTCTGCTCGGCGACTGCATGCTTTCAATGTGCGACAGTTTATATGCGCTGGCAACTGTTAATGCGTACTTCAATGCATTCGATATTTCATTATATGGATACCTATTTCGCTTTGTGGAGAATCTATTGCTGTCTCTCGATATTTTCCATCACTCGACCGAGATTACGTATGCAAAATTGGCGCGTATATTTACATAATAATGCAAGCACACTGCAGTGTGCACGATGTTTCCTCGTACGTCACTGACTATCACTCATCTGCTGCGCTTCCTCCATTAATTATTATCTGCGCTGACGTCAAGCGATCACTTTGCATTATTGTCGGACAACTGCAATTTTGTTGTTGCCTGCTCGCTGTCCTTGGTGCTGTGGTAAACCGCAACTCATTATAAACTTGTTTTAAAAATTATATCTAACATAAAAGGAATTATATTTCTTTTAAGAATGTAATTGTAAACTAAATTGAAAATATTAATTATGAATGAATAATGAATATAATAAGTAGCTCAGTAGCTGGTACCGAGTAGCGATCTTCCACAGGCACAGTGCGTGTAACGTGCGGTGATGTTGTCCACAGACAGAGTTGCTCGGCCAGAGCCTGTTCGACATCCTGCATCCCAAGGACGTGGCCAAGGTGAAGGAACAGCTGTCCTCCTCCGACCTCAGCCCTCGCGAGCGACTAATCGATGCCAAGAGTGAGTGACTTCTCTCCCCACCTCCCACAACTTATTCTCTGTTCCACACTATTCTGAATCTTGCTAAATTACTTAAAGATTACAGTTTAAAGTAAGAACCTCGCTGGAACTTGTTTAGTAATTACACGCGTGTGAGTGACTTGTATGCGAGTACATGTGACAAGTGAGTACAGAGTTACTTTCAGTCAAACTGTCAACTAAACGTTACTTGTGATGAAGATTTACTGAATCGTAGAACCTTCTTTCGACAATTAACCGAGTCTAAGTCGAACGGAGACTCAAAAATGATAATATGAAGTAAATCGTATCCAGTAACTGTTACCTGGTAAAGGTGTAAGGAGGTGAGTAATGAGAATAACAAGCATTGTTTGTGTAGCCATGTTGCCGGTGAAGGCGGACGTGCAGGCGGGCGCGTCGCGGCTGTGTCCGGGCGCGCGGCGCTCCTTCTTCTGCCGCATCAAGTGCAAGGCGACGGCCGAGGCGCCGGCGCCCGAGCCCGTGCCCATCAAGGAGGAGACCGAGCCCACCGCCAAACTGCGCAAGAAGTCCAACGAGAAGAAGTACTGCGTCGTCCAGTGCACCGGTAATACATACATTACTGACCACATCCTCTCTTACCACCAAGGGAGATAGTAGGGATCAAACACCGATTTATCAAACGTCGCACCACTCTCTCGGTCACTCAAACACTGCTCATTCGAGCAACTGCTACAGCCGAGCGACCAGTCTCGGGTTTGATATCCATATGTCTGCGGTCCTGGCTCAGACCGGGAGTTGGAAAGGGGTGGTTTAAAGTATGAGATTTTGATGACATTGATTTAAAATAAAAAAATGGTAATTTCTCGCTGAGTTTTGTGCTCATGACCTGTACCTTTATCAAAACGTTCATTGAGGATATAAACACTAGTGGTGGCACATTATGTCGATGATGGCTTGAGTTCTGAACTCCGCAGGGTATCTGAAGTCGTGGGCCCCGGCGGAGATGTCGGAGGGCGGCGGCGGGGGCGGGGGCGCCAGTTCGGCCGAAGTGTCGGACGACGGCGAGCAGTGCAACATGTCGTGCCTGGTGGCGGTGGGCCGGGCGCTGCCTGACCTGGCGCCCGCCGCTGCCGCCTTCGTCTGCCCGCCGCCGCCCACGCGCCAACTACAATACGTCTCGCGGCACGCGCCTGACGGCAAGTTCCTTTTCGTCGACCAGAGGTAGGTGCACCTTCATAACATCACGTCACAACTCTAGTACGCATGCACGGTGTCGCCACGATGTCATCGACTGTTGCGTGGTGGTTGCAGGGTGACGCTGGCGCTGGGCTTCCTGCCGCAGGAGCTGCTGGGCACGAGTCTGTACGAGTACGTGAGCGGGCCGGAGCTGAGCGCGGTGGCGCGCACGCATAAGACGTCGCTACTGCGCCGCGACCCGTTGCAGACGCCGCCATACTCCTTCCGGAAGAAGGACGGCACCTTCGCGCGTCTGCAGACACACTTTAAACCCTTTAAGTCAGTACTACTCGCTTCTATGTAATCCTCATTCACTTAAATGTACAATAACAACATGAAATAAAAAATTAAGCAAATATATAGTCTATACAACGTAAATATTAATATTATCATAACATGTGGTACATGCAGGAATCCGTGGACGAAGGACGTCGAGTGCCTGGTGGCCAACAACACGATCGTGTCGGAGGCGCACGGCGGCGCGCACGCGGACGCCGCGCACTCCTCCTACGACATATACAAGCAGAGTGAGTACTCCACTACGTGACAGATACTATATTGTACTGGTTAGTGCGCTCTCTGCTGCATCGAGAAACGGGCACGTCACTCCGAATTTGTCGATTTCAAGTTAATAATACTGAGCAGTCGATCAGAGTATATAACTACATATGTCAATACACCGCGCCCACTGACTGCCACGCGCTAGAAGAGTCCGCATCTCATGTTTGTTATATCACTATCATCACCAATCCAGGTCTAGCCACTGCTGTGTCTTACTCTTTCGTTGCCTATGTAATTTAATTAGTTGAGTTATGCACGGGAATAAGATTATAAACTTGTCAACAATATTAATATATTGATTATTCAAAGATAATGATTTCTTTAAAAGCAATACTTACTTGCATGTTATAATTAAACGATCCATTTATCACGTATAGTCGCGTCGAGCGTGGGTCTTAAATTCGATTCCCAGATAATTATTGTGATACTTCCTGTATTGAGGTGTCCTTATATGTACTATGTCGTTCTATAATTTGATAGTTGTATAATTCGTGTATAAACGATAGGCAGTTGATTGACGAGTGAATGAATGTGGGCGTGCACGCGTGTAACACGTGTGTGTACGTGTGTGCAGGGGAGGCGACGCAGTCGGCCGGGGCGCCACTTGTAGCTAGTGCGGTTTCAGAGGCCGACGTGGAGATGCAGCGGCTCATCGAGTCGCAGGTCGAGTCCCACAAGATCGGCAGCGCCATCGCCGAGGAGGCGCTGCGCCGCTCCTCCTCCGAGTTCTCGCCCGACCTGCCGGCCGACCTACTGCAGGATGCCGTCTTCAACCAGAATGTATGTCATATCTTTTATTTGTACTCGCTCGTGTGTATACCGAATAGTAAGGAAGCCCACACTACTACACGATTTCCACAATGATTCCACATGACAGCATGAAGAATACCGTATACGCACCAAATGTACTCATTTTGTTGTGTGTAACGGTCATAGGGACAAAAGAGCAGACAGACACACACAATGACGGGTCATAATATATTACATTATCATAGTTTTCCGCCTGCTGCTTCGCTCACTTGGATTTCTGTCTTGTATAAAACTCGGGATCAATATCTCATGTCTTGGAACAAAATTGAATTTTACACGATTTTTGCTTTCTAAATCTAGCAATACTTTTCACTTTACTTTCATTGTTCATAGTATGATATTATATAGCTTATTTTATTATTTCTACTATACCTAGACCGCTGCCATTAAACATCTAAAATGCAAAAGATTTTCGTTTCTACCACGGCAACACTGATACTTTAGGTAGTAGGTCAATCCTATACTGGCGTTGGGGCTCTCTTACTTCAGTATTGCAAGACATGTAGCTGCATGGTACTGAAAGTGTCCACCCTTAGAGTGTGGTCTAATGGCATTTAAATTTGGTGTGACAAAAATAATAGTGATTTTATCTGTACTGTAACAGTGAGTTTTACTGTTTCTACTTTCACCAAGCTTACTTTGCATCAAGTCCATGTGTCAAATGGTACAAGTACGGACATGGTGTATTGAAATTTCAAATGCACGTGAGAGAGAATATTGTGAAATATAATGTGGTATAATGTGTAAAATACAAATCTATGTTGATGTGAGCCCCTTGAAACAGTGGCCACTAAAAGCCAACGTCCTGTACGAGCAGGCGTCGCTAGTGGACAACATCCTGGGCGTGGACATGTCGGGCTACAGCCAGGTGCGCAACAACGTGCCGCTGAGCGCCGCGGCCGAGGGCTCGCCGCCGCCGGCCGGCGCCGCGCCGCCCGCCTCCTCGCCGCCGCCCGCCTCGCCGCCGCTGCCGCCGCTCGGCCTGGACGGCAACGGGGAGGCCGCCATGGCCGTCATCATGAGCCTGCTCGAGGCTGACGCCGGCCTCGGTGGGCCCGTCAACTTCTCCGGTCTGCCGTGGCCTCTGCCCTAGAGCTCTCACTGGTAGCACATTGTTGCCACGCCTGAGCTGATCGTTAACATTCAAACGTATTTAGGTCAGTATGCTGATTGTTGCTCATCCTCGAACCCGTCAAAATATGTAAAATGATGCGTTTTGACTTTTATTGAAGTACAACTAAGTATAATGGAACCAATGAAACGTGTCAACGTTTCCTTGTTGTCCTGTGAATGTGTTTATATTGTCTCAATATACCTACATCGCGAATTCATTAATTCATTGCGAATTTTCTAGAATCTGGGTAGAAAATATTCCAAGTCTTATATCGCACTCCTTTCTATTCTACTTTATTAGTGTAATAAAGTTATATATTTAATGGAGTATACTATTCATTTAATAGTATAAAAAGTATTTAAATTATTCAAAGATATTGTGCATACATTAAGTAAATGTATATGTATGCAATTATTTTCTACCCATTCAATAGAGTGAGACAACAAAATATACAGACGACTAGTTATAGGCTCTCACATCTTTAAAATTAATAACTTGACTATACAGCTACACTACAGAAACGCAACTTATGATGAAAACCATAGTTTCGAACTACTAACATGAGTAGCGTCGGCGACAATACTACAGACTGAGTAAAACTGACTTCAAGAACAAATAGCTCATTAAAGGTGAATTTCTTGATTAGTGGTGTTAGTTGAACTAGGACTAGGATACACCATGGTAATTTAGTGGTCCACAATGAAAAGTCTTAGAATTTGAGTAACAACAGCATCTGTTGCGTGCGGACACTTTTGATGACAATAACTGACTGTGTGTTGATGCGGTCAATGTGCCGAGTGCACACTGCATAACTGACGTCATCGTTCACAACATGTACTGCCTTTATGATATACTGATCCAAGTTTTAATACTGTTCGTAAAATGTAATATCGCGTTGTAACGATATGGACTTTGGCAATGGTTGGCATCGCAGCGGGACACCGCGCATCGCGGCGACCCAGACGACATCTACTAAAGCTATACTTCCAGCAAGTGACCTTATTGTACAAATCAGTCGGCTGGGATAACATCGACAAAATTAGTTTTACTAGAGGTGTTTACTACATTTTTAGGTAAATATTTTACAAGCCTTATGAAATGTTACCCTTAGCCGATGTGTTAGTGCTTGTACACAGTACACCGAGACAGCGGGCGTCAGGCCCGCCACGCCACGTTTATGGTTAATGACAAAAAGAATTTACTTAATATTATGAATTACTATTACTAATGGGTGTATATGAATAGTTGTTCAATAAGTTATACTTTTAGCCACATAATACTAACACTTTGTTTTTCTATGAGTCATTATCTAGTAATGCATTTTGTAGGAGTAACATGTAGAAGCGTTGCGGCTACGATACGTAGTACGTAACCTAATAAAATTACGGGGAAATATTTATTTAGAAACATTATACCAATAACATTATATACGATAGCGTAGCGATGTATTGTACGTATTTGCAAAAAGATTTGTGTGTAATATTTTTGATTTGTAGTATATTTCTAGGCTAATGTAAAAAGGTTAGTACATAGTTAGGTTGTTAGACCTGTAGATGTAACGCCGCACCGGTCCGGAGGTGGCGTGCAGTGCTGCCCTCTACGGATATCGGGTGTCGGCAATAAGAGGAACTATATAACTTCATACTTATGTTGCAGTTGTCATTCAGCTTAAAAACTATTTTCAATAAATGCTAGGCTAGTTCCAGAATTCGCTCCACTCTAGTGGGGGCCTTGAATAATAATAATATTTTGACTTAAGTAGCTATAGTTATAATTAAGGCTTATAACTCAATATCAATCAAAAAATGTTCGGTTTCGATAACTGGAAGCCAGTGTTCAGGTTTGCGCAGTGTCTTAGCGACTCAAGATTTAAATAACACTTTTTTGAACGCCTACAACTTAGACATAAACATAATAACAAGTTACATCTCCAGGAATATATCTATGATGACTGCATTCGATGATGATGATAAGTTTTGCAAATATAAATATGTATGTACAGAAAGATATATATTGTTTTTGCTTCTATTTCTTTAATATATACCTGTGTTAATATCAAAATCTGTTATGTTATAATTTGATAAGCTTTTTAAAAGTATTTTTTACTTAGGGGTTCTTATCTCAGATGTGACATCCGTGTCATATACCCCTCGAGACACTATGAATACGAGACGTAATGAATTCGTTGGAAGTACAATATTTATGTCTGACTCGGCATTTGTTTTCAGCTCAACATAAATGCAATTAGGAATTAGTTTTCTGTTAGCTGCGATATTGAGTTTATTGTTATTATTATGTTAATTTTATTATAAAGTATTTGGATATATTGTTTCATTCATACGCTGTGTGTTTTATTTACCTTTGTTTGTGTATCTGTGACTACCGCTTGCTATGGTTGCTACGGTTGAGGCACAGATATAAGTTTTTGTCTTTGATCACGTTACGTGTAACGTTTACGTAATAATGCCATGAACAAGATGTATGTTGTGTATAAGCAGTTGAAATAAAACAAGGTACATATAAAACTCAACTATTATTTTTCATTGTCAATTAAAACAGTTTTGTACATTGTGTAAAAGGTAAGCTTGTTTAACTGACATATGCATACTAGGGGTCAAGCCTTGAAGAGCACGAGGGTACCGGAGTACCGTCTCAGAGGCTTTGTAAGCGCACAATAATATCACGGCGTACGAACGTAAGACGCGTTGTGGACTCGTAACTACGCAATGACAAGACGTGGACGAGCGACGCAACTTTACTCCATGACGTCACCGTACTTGTTGGTCGGCGCGGGCGGCGCAGGCGCCGGGGGTTCGGTGCGCATGCGTTGCACAGGCGGCGGCGCACCCAACTCCGTCCTGCAACAAGCGACAGTCGCCGTCACTACTCCTCGCTTCGCGCCCTAATGCCTGCACTACAACTCGTCAAATACTACTGATTCAAACAAAATAACAAATAATACTTTGTTACCAATTAAGACATAATAAAATCAAACAAATAATGTGCATACATATACATAACTTAAACTGCACAGCCGTCTTTTTCCAAAGAGATTTTGAATAGAACAAAACAGGCAAGAAGGTTGACAGGTTAGCATAATATATATCAGTGTTGTTTGAAGGCGCTAATATGCGAAATTACTAGTTTCAATTTGAAAATTAGTTTTGTGCTGGATAGTCCACTTACTCAGAAAGGCTATATAGGCAGCATCAAACATCACGCTACAATCAATAAGTGCCGAACAGCTGATGAAACCGAGCGAAAGTAATTTTGGAAAAAGATGGGGAAAATGTATGTTTAGGTACATAATTACAATATATCAATAATATTGATGATAGGATTCAGTGCTAACTAAATCTGGTGAACAATTTGTCGTTAATACTATCGAGCGTAACTAAGCATAAAATAGATGTATGTATGTTACATTGTATTAGCGTAGCGCATGCCATATTTTCTCTCAGTGTCACTACAAATTGCTTCGTGATCCGACGCAAGCAAGTAGTTAGCCCGGAAACCTTTACCTGCATGCAGAATTATGTACAACAACAGTGGGCAAGAAGGAGCGGGACACAAGATTTTATACTCTGTTCTAAAAACATCAACATTTAAGAACTTGGCATCTGTAGTTAAAAGTTGTTTTCGTTTCATGCCCTCTTTTATGCATTTGGAATAGGAGTTAAACAAGACGAAGAGACAATAAAAAAGGTTTCTTTAAATGTCTAACTAATATTAACGCGAGTAGAGTACACTAACTATTTACTACAACCAGTGCACGCATGAACTATTACAATATTTACCTGTATGGGTCCTGTTTGGAACCTTTGTAGTCATCTCTGTTTTTACGACGTAAGTCGTCGTAGGAAAGACTTGGATTCCTCGGGGCGACCTCTGGTGCCGGGACGGGTGCTGCGGGCGACAGGACCAAATGTTAGTACAACATGATGATGTATATGTCAGAGCTTATATTATCATTATTTTAATTTGCTAAGCTGATGACAATCATTGAAGCATCTCTTTCCGTCAGTTGGTATAAAATTGCCTCTATAGCAGTAACTAACAGAATTAATCAGATTTGTGGTCTAAATGGCGAGCGTATTTAAACGTTTTGCGTTAAATATACAAAATACATGAATACCCGTGGAGCCCGGACGGTAGGAGTCGTCGTTGAACAGTGGCCGGTCGGTGTCCAGGTCGAGCGAGCTGCCGGGGCCTGCGTCCGAGTATATGTCGCTCGGGTTCGCGCCGAACATCGTCGTCCCCGGCTTACTCCCCATTGGACCCCGACTGAAATAACAAACACATGATCACTTTAACTACCCTTGTATAACTTTAGCTGCGTATTTTAAAATGGGTAATGTCTGGTGGTACTTGCCTAGTTCCTCCTACAACCTTTCCATCTTTTCGTTCTCGTAGCAGCTGGCCGATGTAGCTGCCGGGGAGTGCCATCAGCTTCTCGGCGCAAGCCTGCTGGTAGGACAGCTTGCCGATGAAGTAGCCGACCATTACTGCCAGCGTCACTTTCGGGAACGGCCCGAACCGAGGGTTGGGCTTAAGATGGCCTGCAAAAATCAGATTATTATTGCTAATTAATCTAGACACGACTAAATCAAATTATCTTACTTAAGTAGAACTCTAGCTTAGCAAGTAAAATAGCTTTTAGTTAACTTGTATATTCCATTCTTGGCTTCAGTTCTGTACCTAAAAATAAGGTTAAAAAGGTGATTTGACCCATTTACCTATTTTGGGCAATATTTACACTAAGATTGGTTTGTCATGGACCTAGATGACATTAACCGTGTTTGCGTCGCCCACCTGGTATAATTGTTCTGTTTGCAAGGCAATGCTCTAAGAATCAACTGTTGGCAGGAATACGGTCTCGACGAGGTATTATAGCACAGCTGATATAAGTTTGACTGCTTATATCAGTTCTGCTAAAATATCTACTTCATGGATCATCTGATACTAGCTAATAAGTTACTTCTAAAATGCGCGTTTGAGTGTTGAAACAACAACGTGGTTTAGCACATCTATCTATAGGTTCGCAATTGTAAAATTTTCATGAGAAAGTTGGGCTCCTCTAAGGTCATTCGCATTTCTGGTGATGGAGATCTCTAGAACATAAAGCATATGTTTTATGACTATGTTTTAAGTATTATTTATACTGTCAAGTTTGTTTTATTCATGGACAAGTTTAAGGCTATTTATTATGTGTTTGCTTAAGTTTTGTGAAAGTCTGACTATATAAATAGTTTTTTTGTATAGATTGTTTAGTTTTTTGTTTTATTTTACCTATATTTTATTGTGATTTTTATTTTTTTTCTAGTGTTGTAACTATTTCATATCTTTTGTGTGTGTTATTGTAATTGATTTAAATCCATGTTAACATAGTAAGTAAATAAATAAATTACCGATGCTGTCACCTCCATGTATCTTATGAGACCTTATTAAGATATCACAATTTGTTATTGATCTCTCTCTGATCGAAGTAAATATTCAGATCAAATGTACTTTTAAAAAAATATATTAATTGTTATATCGACACCCCTACACTATCACAAAAGATATAAATCTAGGAGTCATCATCATCATCATCATCTTCATCAGCCCATATTCGTCCACTGCTGGATATAGGCTTCTCTAATGGCATGCCACTAAGCTCGGTCCTCAGCTCTTTTCATTCAACCACTGCCAGCCACCTTGCTGATGACGTTACTCCACCTAGCTGGAGGGTGCCCTACACTACGATTGCCTAAACGCGGTCTCCGCTCTAGAACATGTTTACTCCAACGGTTATCAGAGTGCTGAGAGAATTCAATGAACATGTCATTCCGGAGACAATTATCCTAAACGAGTCGCCTTTCGAAGTTGTCCAGGAATACATCTACCTGGGACAAACCCTACAGCTAGATAGGAACGGCTTCGAGAAGGAGGCCCGTAGAAGAATACCCAGAAGTACCCCGATATATTTCCCGCTTGCAAACTTTATTTTCAGTACCCTCTTCAAGTAACAACTTCAAGCAGTGTTAGCACTTATAACAATGAATTGAATGAACTAGACATATTTAATACCAGTTTCAATGTGTATAAATCTAAAATTAAGCAGAAACATACTAATCATAGTCACTTTGTAGGTAAGTTCATGTATCTATTTTTCTTTCACCTATTTTTTTAATGTATAACACCATAAGAACGCTAAAACAGTGCTTTTTTGTAATTTATTGTTTTATAGAACTCCAGGTCGGTATGTATCAAACTGTACCTATTGTAATAATTTATTTGTGAGACACTGTTTGTTTCCAACTTAAGAAAAATAAAATAATAGTTATCTACATTCGGAGGTCCTTATCCTATTACATTTAATGTTAAGAACTAAATGTATACACTGGATTATAGCTAAAAATAAGCAGCTACTAACCTTTTTGTACAGCAACATAGGCTCCGAGGCCAAACGTGGTGCCGAGAGGCAGGGATCGTTGGAAGAAGCTCTCTTTGTTGCATTCGCCCAGCACGCGCAGCTCATCCGGAGTGAACTTGTACTCCGACTGAACCAACAAGTCCACGGTTACGCACAGCACGGACCGGCAATATTATCCACAAGCTAATAACCTTACCGGGAGCACCGCTGGACGCTGCTGCTCGGCAACCGACAGGTCCGTCGCGTTTTCCTGATATCCATATGAGTTGGGGTCGTTCATACTCAGTAGATTAATGACATCAGGCCACAAAATTATAACTTTTAAAAACAGCACTTGCACTCGGTGAACCAGTTCATTTCAGCCGTATCGCAGTGTGTGACAATATGTACCTACTGACAATGACAACTGACTGACTGAACGACGAACCGTGAACGAACGATACGATTGTATGTATGAGATACATTACTCTGCAATTTGACAATGATCTAATTCTAATTCTATTTGTCAAATGTCACTGTCAACAAGACAATTAGAAATTTTTATTTTATATGTATTTGATCGGCCGACGTTTGACAACAATCTGGCTTGGTGGTATGCGATTATATGGCCTACAATAGACCACGTCTGCTCATAAGCAACCTATTTACTCAGGCATTGAAGACACCCTTCAGAAGACACAGACTCAAGCAAAGAATTCCCCTCCTTAGCACTAGGTACACACAAGGTAGCTTGAAGCAGTCTTCGTGGTGGATGGGTAATCTACCCTGAATCGGGGACGCTTCGCCAATTGTCGTGTGTTACATGGTTACAAAGATGGAAAGCACTAGGGAGAATCAAATTGTGCAATTCCTCCGCACACTCACCGAAATGTGTCCGGTAAAAAACCGAAAGGCCTACAACTTTACGCATTTCGTTGATGAGCCTCTTGGCACGCCTCTCGATATATTCTAGTGCGTCCAACTGGTATTTAGCCGAGTCGTCCCAAAGATGAGAACAGTAGGTACCTACCCCATACAGGACCGAAACTGTGCTTGGTAAGCTCAGCAATTGTTTCGGTGTAAAGTACCGTCTCACCCTCCATAGGATACTTAACTTCCTACCAGTCAGTTGCGCTTTGGATTCTATAGGAGCCAAAGTTCAGAGTGGGCGTCAGACTTAGGCCACGAAGCTCAAGATGATCAGTTACAAGAACGGATACATTCCGGAAAGTAGGAGTCAGCGGAAATTGAATCCGTTTGTGCGTCTCTCCAGTCGGAAACCATCTTTAAGGACGAGTTCAAGCGTTCAACCATGGACTCTCTTAGATACTATATCTGTGCTTCGCTAGTTCGCGGACACCTTTTAACTATTATTGTGCTGTCATTTGCATACCCAAATATATTGGACTTAAGCAAGTCGTTTATGTGCAACAAACGAGCGTCGCTGAATGTACTAACCCTTGTGGGACTTCGGCGTTAATATCAAATTGGTCAGACGAGCAGCCATCGATGACTACCCGAATTGACCGATCCCTCAGGAAGTCTACTAATCATCTGCACAGATCTGCAGGTAGCTTATTGCTAAGACTGTCGTGCCATACCCTGTCAACGGCCTTCGAAATATCGAGCGAGACTGCCAATGCCTATGGCCGTTTAGATGGCGTCGCTGGAAATGTGAATGGCAATGGCATACGCGAGAAGGTGTGTTAGATAGGTTGGTAATTGTAAGGGTCGGCACGACTCCATTTTTGGGGGCATGCTGCACGTTGGCCAGCTTCCATGCAACCGGCACTGGTTTTAAAAATCACGGCTGGGATTCCATCGAGGCCACTGACTTTGTTTACATCGAGATAATTATATCTCCTTCTGTCGGATGCGAATTTTCGACATACTCGTCTCGTATGCGCTTTTAAGAGAAGAAGGCGAGGTGCCGCCCTATCAGTAACAAGACCTGCAGACCCCGCAAATAGAGAAGCATACAGATGTATTTGCTTTCTCTACCATTTTTTTTTAAGGGGTGAAAATCGTCGAATGACCGCTCCCGCCTGGGTGAGGCGGGAGGGAGTGTCAGACTCTTACTGACTAAAAACCACCCCGTTCCTTCTCCTGCACGTCGAGCCGGAGCCCCGGTTATCCGTTAGGTTCTCCGCGACTCCGAATCGGCATCGGCCCTATTGGGCCCCATCTGTGGTGGTCTGATGGCTCTTTGAGGCCCACGCGGAACGCGACGCGCCGTACGCTCGGGTCTGTTTCTGGTCGGACGGGGAGCCAACAATGCTCGCCGTCCGCAGGCCCGCGCTTACGGTGGCCGGAGATCGTCTCGCGATCCCCGACACCCGGTGTGTCCTTCGCGGTGGCTGGGTTGCGAGGAGGCAGCGCTTCGCTGCCTCACGCGTCCCGCCTCCTCCTTAGCTAGCATGACTGCTTCGCAAAAGGAGGAGACGGCATCCCAGTCCCCCTCGCTCCGCATCAGACACAGTTACCTCCCGAAACTTCTATGTCCGGTGAGGACCTGCGTCAGGCGGTAGGTGAGGACGCCGTAGCGTCTCTCAAGCCTTTCTCTACCATAGTGTGAGCCAATGTCCCGTCAGACCTCAGGAGCGGTGGAAGTGAGGGGCGATAGAAGTTTGATTCAACCGCCTTGGCCAGGGACCAGAACGGTTTACTACCCGCTAGTACGAAGCGAGTTGTTTCCCTATTCGGCCAATGTGGTTAAATTCAGCCATTCGTAATGCTTTTTTACAGGACTTGGCAGCCCAGTTAGGCTCTCTTCCTTTGTACAACGTCGCCAGCCTCACGACGCCTGGCAACCATCCCAAGTAAGTATTTAGTGAGCTTTTGCGCTTCGGCACATCTGACGGCTTCGAACCATGGACGAGTACGAGTCCCACAAAAAGATGCTGCGCCCGAGAATTGTGTTGCCGGGCCTATAATTATATTTTATAATTAGTAAATTGTGACCATTATGAAAAAAAAATCAGTGTACTATACTCTGATTTTTTTGACCAATGACCAAAGAATAAAAATTATTTCATTTAAAAAATATTTCATATATCATGGTGCAGTATTACTACAGACGGCCAAGCACGAATAACTATCTCATTCTTAACGTAACGTAACGTAAGCACCGAGACGTCGAAATGAAAACGGAATGCCGAATGTCGCAGCACGAAGTCTATCGTATCGTTTAGCGAGAGCTCAAATAAGTTTAGTGACGTTATTTATATTGAGTTCCAAGAGTTGTAAAGAAGCCAAGAGAGAAGCGCAAGCGCCCAAATGAACGAATTGAAATAATTTGAAAAATAATATTTCGTATATAAACAAAATCAAATTTTAAATATTTTCAACCTTTGTCTAGGAACACGTCTAATGCTATGATATTTTGATAAAGCGGTTCTAGGAGCACGTTTAAAGGAATATAAAGTGATATTATCGTATTATTACAACGAAAAAGGAAATAATTAGTTTTGAGAACTCATAAATAATTTTGCGATTTCCGAACGTTGTGTTTGACTTTGACAAAGGTCAATCAAATCAAATAGGTATCAAATTTAAAAAGATACTATTTGTTTGTAAACTTCTATTCATCTAATAAATTTCTATTTTAATTGATATAAAAGAACTCAATTCCAATGCAAAATGAGAATGGACTGAATGGAAAGTATCGTAATTAATCATTATTGTTTTGATTGAATTGTTTTCTGTGGTTGACCTAATATGCATTGTGATTTCTATTCCAGGATTCTAGGAGTTTTTCTGAGCCAGCTTTTTGACACCACAAACCACCTCTCCTCTATTATAGGATAAATAGACCGGATAAGAAGGCTAAACTGGAACTGACGAAATTGTTTTTGAAGTTGATAATAAAACAAAAGACAATGCTGATAGTGTCAGGAAAGTGCTGACATGGTGCTCCTTATGCTTTCCTCCTAAGTTACATGTGGAATACAACATGAGACAAATTAAATATTAAACTAGATTTTGTTTTTCTTGAACCCTTGAATAAAATTAATCTTTAAATACTCACAGTCTTACTCATAGGAAACATAGTAATATAATGATAGTACATTTGCTAAAATGAAATTATAATGATGCATAAAAACTTAGATAATAACTTGATGTAGGTAGCTAATTAGTCATTAAGATATGTTTCACTAAGTGGGTATAATAAAACTTAGCTTACATTTTGTTTAGTTAAAGTTACATGTAGTAAAATTGATGATTTATGTAGCCATTAACCCGTTGAAATATATCCCCTGAATTTGGTCATACAAAAGTAGTCTTTAAACATTGGAAATAAGGTCTATAATGTAATGTAATATTAGTGGAGAGCGGTCACCGGTGACTGCTTAGGGATTTATGGGTTAAAATGTGTTGCTGTTTTTTTTTACGGGTGGAATATCATCAAATGAATGAGGGAGTGTCAGACTCTTACTGACTAAAAACCAGCATTCTCCTGCATGTCGAGCCGGAGCCCCGGTTACCCATTAGGTTCTCCGCTGCGCTGTTTCTAGTGTAAGCCTACTGGCTTTCATATTTTCCGTCCATGGCACTGCATGCATTCTTAATTCACCACTGGTTAATTTTGACGTACCTTGTTTAGCAGAAGGTATGAATGCGTGAGAAGTCCCTTCCCCTAATATTGACCCTCTCGTAAAACTAATCTCCCAGAGACTATGGGACGAGCCTTGGAACACCACAGCCAGCTATTGCAAATTATGCTTCTGAACCATTTGGGGTTAAAACTTTAGGGCCATGGGGGGGGGGGGGTAGTGAAATGGTTGACACTTCAGGTGATCGAAAGAAATACTACCTTGTTCAAAACTTAAACATTGCCATCGAACATGGCAATGCTGTCAGCCTTCTGGGCTATACCTCATGACTTTCATGATGATAATTTTTCGTTTTTTCCATAAACTATTTATATTTATTTTGTTATGTCAATTTTAGTCGTAAATACTTTAGTTTTTATGTACCTTAGCCCTAGTTATTTATTTTTTAATTTTAGCTTATTATCTATATACAGGGTTATTTGTTATTAGACCATAATCTCGTATAGGCTATACACAACACAGAATAACACAGATCATAAAGGGATAGGTGAAAATAAACAGAAATTTAAATAGGTATTAAACTTTTAGTGTTAGATTCATAATGACGCCCGTGGGAACGCTAACTGAAAACAAAAAAAAAAAAAATTAACACGCTCGACCTAATTTAGTTTTTTTAAATATCCTACTTTATTAGTTTTTTTTACTAGTTCTAATCACTAAATTCTCAATAATATCATTACTTTTAATACAGTGACCCCAAATTCATCATCATCATCATGTCAGCCATAGGACGACCACTGCTGAACATAGGCCTCCCCAATGACTTCAAGCAAGATAGGCTGTTTGGAAGCGACCTGCATCCAGCGGCTCCCTGCGACCTTATACAGGTCGTTTGTCCT